TTCGATCGCAATCTTACTTCACACGAGCACGAACAGACATTCTCCGTTCATTTTATTTATTGGTATGATCAGGAAAACCAGTTTATATTTCTTATTTCCTTAGCAGAATTATATTCATACAAATATATTTATAAGGCCGTTTCCTTGGTGACCGTAAAGCTACACTAATCCGRAAGCTATTCAACTAGTTTTTATCTCATGTAATAATTTTACAATATACAAATATACAAAAATCTAAATTAATCATTTCTAGCCGAAAGTGAGCCTAGCCGGAAGTTGAGGTCCTGTTTTTAGMGCATACTTATTAAAACCGGAACCACGGAAAATCCGTGGTGAAAAAGTGGATTATGCYATAGCCTCGTTCCTCAGTACTGACCAAGAGTAACACAGGGTCCGTGTGGACGAGATTGGTTTTAGGCGTCAATTCGACGCAACCCCGGTCATTTTTGTCAATATCCAAAACCTTCTTGTCGTTACCTCTCTGAAACGAGGCATGTTTTGTAGCAGAAATAGAGAGTGTTTGCTGGACATTTTTGAGTGAGTGCATGCCGATGAAGAGATGCATGTGTTACCACATGCTGTTCAGTTCAGTTCCTKATAACTTAACTATGTGCTTACACTGGACTCCAGTCTATTCACAGGCCGTATATATAACTCATTTATGTACCTGTTCTTTTTTAATATTAAAAGATTCATTTTCATTATCTTTGGCATAGAAGCGAACTTTTCCTACTGGGTCTTTGTCATCAGTACCACCATACTTGAAAGACGTCAGCTGCAGTTCAAAGCATAACAATTAGTGACATTTTGTTTTATATACAGGGGAGATATTATATATAGTAAATACTGGCCTGCGGCCTTAGCCGCTGAGAAACTATGACGATAGTATTTTAGAAGCTAAAACAAAGTGTTGTCCTTCTGAAGGAACATATTACCTCCCGCAACATACGATCTGGTGAAGAATATCTTCTGGCTGCGCCACGGACTAATTCTAAGAGCTATAGGATAGAGTGTTCTTGACTACTAGCCCAAGGCTTTACAACACCTTCGCAAGCTGTGATAGAGCCAGATTTCAAGTTTTATTTTGATACGCTTTCCTAAATCGGCCAAAAATATTCAGAGAAATCGAACATGTACAAAAACTGACAACAAACTTTAAAACTTTGTCGTTTAGCATAACAAATACCTGCACAACAATATCATCTTCTTTCAACTCTTCTGCATTTTCCTTGACAATCTCCAATATCTCTTTCTGCATAGCAGGAACACCTTTCTACATGCAGTTAGACAGATAAAAACAACTCGAATTAGTTCCGGTAGTTTGTATTCCATGGCTTTGAGCACATGTCAAACGAATGACATGAACTGCTTGAAACGTTGGTGAATATACCTCTAAGTGCATTTAACCTCTGATATAATACGTTTAGTATTGATTCTACATGAAGTGAATAGTTGAATCGTGGTAAAATATTTCTTGATTTGAGTGTTGTGTCTTTATGTTATGAAGGATTATAGTTCCAATATGGTACATTACTGTGACGTCATCAAAGGCTTTTGGATATATTTGTTTTACTCGTACTGCCTAAACACTGGCCATCATGTGAAAAAACAGCCCCTAATGAAACAACCCGACCCCAGCTTTGAGCCTCTCGCCATCGGTCATGCATAACAAATTTTGTACAAAGAAAATGTGTTGTTTGTGGGGCGGTAACGTGTAATCAAGGGGGCAAGTCAGAAATAAATTAGTTTATTGGTCTTCCTGTGATATATAATTTAATTGATTGATCTTCCTGTGGGAACGCGTATGCGGTTTTCTTAAAAGTCGCGCTGGCTCGTAAGTAAACAAATATTGCGCATGATCGGGTTTCGGCCAATCAGCATCAGAGAATTACCAACGCACTTTGCAGCATGCTAATTACGTTTTTTTTTGGCCAGCTGTTTATCGTGAAAATCTAGCATTAACATAAATTAGCAATCAAAACAAGATACTTTATTCAAAACATTTAGCGAAACGTTTTTAATGAAGGAAATTATAAAAGAGGAGAGAAAGAAAGGAGAACACTCTACATTCATTTTTTGGCATTGGCGCCGGTGGAAAATACGAACACGAAATTTTAGCATTTCCGCCACGAAAGCAAATAAAGAGACCGTGGGCCGTAAAACGGATTGTCGTGTGTTAGTGAATGACAAAATTCCAACGTCTTTTTTGTAAAACTTGAGTTCATTTTGCGTAAAAGGCAACAACAAGCTCTTATCTTCTGACGAATAAAGATTCATTAAACTGATTAAGTTGATAATAAAGGTAGACTTTATTGGTACATGTTGAACGATATTCGTCTGGCAATTCTTCTAAGTTCATTATAGGGCTTACTATAAAGCTAAGGCAAACAGCAGAATGCAAATAGGGAAAAAATAATGAAGCACTAGATTGACCAATAAATGATTCACATTATTTATTTTCTAGAATTAAAATATATACTGGAATTGCATCTTTAAAACAAATACTTTTCTTCAAAAATTGGATTCAGAACATGTAACTTACAGAGTTATCAGAGTAGCTTATCCTTCTGCCTTGATGATGAAATCAATTTCGAAATTGACTTTAAACTGTAGATTTGATGAGTTTTTTTGAAGTTACATTATTATCAGTTTGAAAGATCGCTTATAAATTTCACTTTGAAATCCCAAAGTTCGTACCAAAATATGCACTTCTGGCGAACAAAATGCTGAAGTTTCGTGAAATCAACTGATATCAAACATCAAAGATGGCGGTGTACATAAAATACTCTTTAACCGGGACGCATTGGGACGCATAYATTTGTAATAATTTACCTCATTAAGTGGCAGTAGCAACCCAAGTAGGCCTAAACCTGATGTGGATTGTCGAAAGGTTTGAAAAAGTTTCACTTTCACAGTTTTCAGCTTTCCCCGTCCTCTTCCCTTGGATTCCGCAGTCTTTGGTATTTAYTTGAGCCTACGCTATTTTTCGCGGAAAACTTTATTCGTCAGCACACGTCAATACCACAGGAAAACCAATCAACTTATTTATTYATTTAGTATTTGTCCTGCAACCTTCAACCGACGTTGTAGCCGGGTCGCGCAGTGAGAAGAAGTAAACCAAGAAAATAGTTCAGTTTGATCATTTGAGACTCACCTTGTCTGGGTTGTCTTTGGGAATCGTGAACCCAATGAATTTATACAACTTTCGTTGTTCTATKTTCTCCAAGATTTCCTTTGCCTGTATCATGCAAGGTAAAGTAGTTGTCATTATATATTATGATTATTTCTATAAAGTCAGTCACCTGAAAAGCTACAAACCTGGATGTGGCACATCCACACACACACACAAACACACACACACACACACACACAGACACACAGACACACACACACACACACACACACACACATATATATATATACACTGCGGTTTGCATAAACTTTGACCATTTATATATATATATATACAAGTATATCAAAAGTATTATGGGATATCCTCCATCATAAATTTTTTTCGAGTTGTCTATCATTAGGGCTTTCTGAAAAAAATATCAAGAAAGATATCCCGCCCTGTCTGATATACTTTCGATATACTTGTATTTATATTTGAAACGGCCATAAATTTTGCAAACGGCTGTGTATATATATATATGAGTGGCCGTGTTGTATCCGATATACAACCACGAGGCGTAGCCGAGTGATTGTATATCTGATACAACACGGACATGACTTATCAAACGTCTAGGTTAGTTCCTTTGTGTTTCACTAAAATTTTCAAAATTAAAGTGAATCTGCCCAAGAAAATCCAACTTAAAGTTTATGCAAATGAACACAGTTTTGTATCAGATTTACAACACTCTTCACGGTCGTGATTTCTGTTGTGTTTTCATCATGCATTATTAATGAGTTTGATAAATTTGTATACTTGATTGCAGTAACCTGTACTCAATAAATAACCAAACTACTGTTCTTACCTCTTTTAAGCCCTTATCAGTTGAATAGAGGATTTGATAATACACGTGGTCTGTCAGTTTAGTGTAAGCAACCATGTCATCTATCGCTGTCGATATCGTACTTGGTTCTCTATACGTTTGACAAAGATGTTAAGTAGTTAAACCAATCTTTAAAATAACTTATTTATATCAACCAGCTAAAATTRAGTTGRTCGTYGGTTTACGAAATCGGGTAGAGAACAATGCCTTTCATATGCCATCAACAGGAGTCTGTTGCTTTCAATCTGAACAACAGCTGAATGACCCTTATTTAACTCGCCCTCATTGAAAGGCAGCATTTTTAGTATGTTTATTTTAKGTTTTTTGTGTGAATGGGCTTATTGCACCTYGTACAAAAATCCAGGATTCCTTACAAAGGGGTCGAGACAAAGCTTACCGCCCATTTTCTCCTTTGATCTTAAGATGTTTATCTGCCTTTTCTAGAGCCTCAGTTATCCTGTAAAACAAATTTAAATATAATCTCCCGTTAACAGTTATAATCTAATAATAGATAATGTCGTATCAGCAGCAGAAATAGATAGAGAATAGGGATTCAGCAGTGTTAGACCGTATTCACTTACTTATTCTTTAGTTATAATCTATAACTAATTATCCTCGTAGATCAGCCTAACACAATTTCAATTTCAATTTTCAATTTCAGTTTATTTACACTGGTTTTTTTTTTTCAATTTTATATAATAGAATTACAAGAATATATATAGTTGGATAATATTTAGAATTTTTAATATAATTAACAATATGATAGGTGTAAGTGTACGACAGCCAAAGGAGCTAAGCTTTCTAGTTGGCTGTCGTAATTTTCATTTAGGGTCAAAAAAGAAAAAGAAAAAAACTACAAGGCTATAACACAGATATCGTCTGGCAGATCGTCCTGCGCAATCCTGGAAATACTCGTGCCGGCAAATGACGCCGTGCTACTCCTGAGCTTCTAATCAGCCACTATTATCTTAGAGCTGGCTGGGTTATTGCAAGTTATAGCCTATGAGCAGCCCGACTTTATCTCTGGTAAACTAGACTGAGTTAAGCACGTTAATGAGGAGCAAGTTTTCTATGATAAGTTTTATTTGCTCGTGCATGTGTAAATAAAAACTCATCAAGATTTTCCTTGTCAAGTGCACTTGTTCCACAAGAGCTGGCATGCTAGCTTTTGAGCAAAGCAACTTGCCAAGGAAAACTTGACAAATTATGAAATTTCCTCGTCTGTATCGGCCAACAAGAGAAACTTGACAAGAAGTCCCGGGCGCTCAGCGGTCGCTTGGTCTAGCTGTCCAGCGGTCGCTACAAAAGCTTGTCAGACTTCAAGGTTTATTCGCGTAAACAACCAAATAAAACATGTCAAAACTTGTAATGTGTTTTTCATACACATGAGCAAGTAAAACTTGACAAGTACACTTGTCACAAAAAACTTGCTCGTCTGTAACCTGCTAAAGTCGGGCTTCACTAAAGGCTTTGAACTGTAATTAGGAGACATTGGGATACTTGACTTACATCATTTCGATGGCGTTTACCGTCTTATGATGACAAGCCTTTTTATGGATACTAAGTCTTGTGTGGAACAAATCGTAGATATTTCCCGCCGCGATGTCACGATAGCAAATCTCTGCTAAACCTTCTTCTGATTTGATCACTCTTGCCAGCGGTATACATCGCCTGCAGATGTTCGCAAAAATACAATACATTTTAATTTGCAAACATAATACATTTCAAGTTAGACATTATTTCGGCTAAATTACAATGTACAGGTTTAGTTTTTGTATAATATAAAGCAGTTTCATTTGTAATTTTTCATTTTTGAATGCCTAGAGGCTAAATTAACTAAAAGTTTTCGTGTTTCGTGTTTCGTGCCACTAGTCTTTTAAAGTTATATTTGTTATGAGCATAATTTAAATTAAATTAGTTGAATATGGATATATACAAAATACACACTTATACAAGAATGTTTTATTGAATCTTTTATTATGTTTGTAGTCTTTAACAACAGGTTTTAAATCATGAGGCGTAGTTAGTGGTTTTGGAGGTTTTAGACCCGAATCTGCAGTTTTATTGAACAGCTCAAAAAAAATCACGAATAATGTATAAAAATTAGGTTGAATAAGCCAGTTCATAGTTAAAGAATCGTTTTTAGTACACATGCGATTTTATCCCGAATTTCTCGCCTTCTTTCGTTTAATTAAGAACAGAAGAAGGCTTAGACAAAAGAGGGTGAGAAATTCGGGATAAAATCGCATGCGCACTGAAAAAGATTTTCAAACTACGAACTGGCTTATTTAAGCAGCCGTAAAAGTCATGTGCGCAGTCAGTTCAAAAAGGACAGAATGCCAACTTCAAGACAGGGGCATAAGTCGACGAGATTTTGTGGGCTCTAAGTCTTTATATAAATTTGGAGTTACTTTTATTTTGATAAAGTTGTCTAATTTATATAAAGAATACTAATGAAGATGACTTAAATCGAGATCGCGTAACAAAAGTTAGAATAAACGATTTCCGAGATGCACGAGCGCTTTCATAAATATCGCAGGCGCAGACATTAAAACGAGGCATTTTCGGGCAGTGTGATAAGAAACCTTTGGGAACCATAGAGTTAAAGGTGATTTTTAAAACCCTTGAAAAGATTTTTTCTAAAGTGAGCTATAGTTTCTTTAAAAGTTATTATCCTGCTCCTCAAATAATAAAAGAAACTTCAAAGTATTTCTTCGTTAACATAATTTTCAAAGTGTTGTACGTATTTTCCATAGCGAGCGTAATAGTCTTCCCGAAAATGCCTCGTTTTAGAATAATAGCACGCGATACATTTGACAGCGTTCGCGCATCTCGGAAAAGATCTATTGAATTGAATGTAATCGAGCATATCAACCAGACGGGTTTTTATCACTTTTTCCTGGCTAATAGTAATGGCTTACAGATTTTCTTTAATATTTACAGATTACAGTCTGATAACTTACATGTGATCAAAGGAGCTCTTGATGCCAAGATATCGACAGTCACGTGCAAAGTAATCCCACTTGTCGACGTCTATACCGTTGATCTTGTTAGCGACAATCTTCAATAATCAAGGTCGGTGGAAAAATAATAATAGTTAGGTATTAGAAGTCATTAATTAGGTATTAAAAGTTATTAATTAGGTATTAGAAGTTAATAGTTTGGTATTAGAAGTTAATAGTTTGGTATTAGAAGTTTCAGCACGCTTTTCAGGTTCCTTCAGCCCAAAGCCAAAGATTCTAACTTATTTTAGAAGCTGCTGAGCACGCAGAAAATGATAACGGCTCTAACCATAACATGTTCATTAAGGACGTACGACGTTCATGGGCAAACGATCCCATCTTCAGATTTTTTTATATGCTAGAGATAAAATGAGCACATTGAAAAAGGGGTTTCACTGACTTTAGATTACACGGACGTTTGCCCTTAGTTTTGCGATAAAAACGCATGGAACCGCTACGCAAACATCTAAACCGTGGGAAAAAAAGCCATATTATTGTATTGTATTTTCACATAACTGTAAGAAAATGACCCGATAATTGTCTAGCATTTAAACTTTACGATGATTAGAAATATGAAATGTTATTGGGCAATAAGTGTGGACTTCGCATAAAATTTTATAAGTCCAACTATGCACAAAGTATGTGATTTTAATTTGATGCCATATTACCTTTAAAGTTAGGTATTATGGATTACAGCCTACGTGCCACACAGGCATAGCAAGGATGCGCGCGTGCAATGACCATGAACATCCTTCATACCTCAAAAAGAAAACGCGGTTTATTCTTTTCTCTTCCGACTACTTTCCATTCCTAAAACAATAGAAAACAGCAGACGTCGATATCAGTTGATTCAACTATACCTTTATTTGAGAGTGGCACCCAGTGAAAACTGACCAATTTGGTGCAGCTTAACTCAAACTAAACTGAAATACAATAAATAGCACTGAGACACAGCAGCCAACAATAGGAACAGTACTTTGTTTTTGGGTTTTAATCGTGCCTTGTAAACTTTACACCCAACATCAACTTTCCCGGGCGCGCACAGGCCCTCACAAGTATTTCTCCATGTTATCAACCAGTCTTGTTATGATGCACTCGTTCCCAAGTTCTGCGTTTCAGCCCCCACCCCTCCCCTCAAGAAATCAAACCCTTGCTCTCCCGATCATTTTCTCCTTTGTAATGTCAACAAGGCTTAAAATGTATTATTCAGCGATAGGGTTTTTTCGAACACCTTTCCGTCGGTCAAGGTTATACTGATGCTTGAATAATAATAATAATAATAATAATAATAATAATAATAATAATAATAATGATTGTAATGATAATTATAATAATCATAGTCATAATCATAATCATAAAATAATAATAATAGTAATGATTAATGGCTGGGCTTGTTCGATATGCTTAATCTTATCAGCGGTTTTCATACCTCTTCAGAAGTTGGTGTTTCACCAGTCATTAATTTCTTGATAAAACATTTGTCTCTGTCACCAAGGCCGTATTCTTCAAACATGTGCTTAACATTGGGGTTCGAATCAATGAGATGAACAAACATTTGTTCACTGGCTACCTCATGCTGAAAATGAATACGAAATTCAGAGATCAGGTAACTGGGATTGTTTGGTCCAGGATCCAAATAATGGGGCTTTGTCTCAAAAAATTCTAATTGGATAAATAGCGACTATCAGGCTAGTCCTGAGCCTTCGACCGAGCAATCACTCCCTACGTAAAATATTATCAAATGAATAAAGCTTTACACTTACCGACCAATCAGTCCGTTCAGGTCTCACTTTTGGAATAAAATCGTTGTCAAACATATGGGAAAATGGTCCATGCCCTGACAAAGTACCAAATATATTACGTGTAGTTTAGTAAACAAGCAGGAGTGTTTGTTTGTGTTTGTGTTTTACATCTGATAAAAGCGAACCGCGAGTTGAATTTTAGGAAGACGTACTTCTTTGCACGCATGTGCAAAGGGATGACTTTATCGGGTATTAATCGCAATCGATTGTTTGGAATTTCAGCGATGATCACGAATTATTTACAAAGTATCGAATGATCAACAATGTTATATTTAAAACTGTGAAGTAATACACCTCTTTACCTTGGGTATAATGTTTTCCCATTTCAAACCACGTGTCATTCCCTAGAGTATGACACGTGGTCTGAAATGGAAGAAAAAAAACATTACGTGCAAGGTTAAGAGGTCTGTTTAAAGCTTCAGTTACTCACCCAAGTCATGACAAAGGCCGGCAATTTTGACGCATAACACGTCTTTGTCGTCAATATTTAACTCTTCTCTTTGTTTCCTTCTCAAGCTTTCTACGAAATAGCCAGCAAGATAGGATGTCCTGTAAAAGTTGATTAAATACTAAAATAAATTTTACTAGATGTACACTATATTGGCCAATATTGGCCTTTCCGAGGTTGCGCGGAAAACTGGTAACAAATAGGGCGCGCTCTGCATCATGGGGCTGTTTTATAGGACGCTCCCTAAATATCGACCAAGCGTTGAATTCCTTTTTTTTCGTTGCTGCTGTTAAATATTTTTTGAAGCAATCCGGTTTTACGAACAATAGAACAAACTACATGTTATGCGAAAGAAAACTTAGGAGAGCAAGTATAAATTTCTACTTTACAGACAGACACTATTTTTCCAAAATTGATGCTTTTGAGGTTGACAGAACTAGAACCTGGAAGACATACTGTCTAAATGCTGCTCATACAATATCACCTGCTGTTTGTAGCTTTGTTGGTCCGTTAAATTTGAATCAAGTTCAAATATGTCAGTACTTTCCCTTTTCAATGTTTCTCATAAGTATTTAGTATTTKTAAAACTTTAGAGGAACTTTATATGGAACTCTTGTCCTGTTTTTACTTCAATTTCCCTCCCTTAGTAACATAAGATATCTTAATAATATAAGACCAATGATCCAATGATCGACTTACCCTATTGAGTGTTCGAACCTGTTGTGCGATGCTCCCGGATTGACAAAATAAGTGCCACCTAAAATGAACCATTTTCATGATAAATAACAACGCTTTTCTTTAGAAAAAAGAACTGAAACCAGTTGTCAATCGAAACGCACCCATCTGCTTGATGCAGCGAAGACGTTGAAATTGTTCCGTGTCGATGATAGCGACACATAGTGGGTGCATCTCAATATAGCCATGAATAGAATCATTGAAAATCTAATACAAAAAAAATGTCACTTATCAGTCGGAACTAAAGATGAATCAAGTAAAAGGAGTAACAAGTGAAATTATTAAATGATGGGAATGAAGTATTATAGGCACATATTTTTAAAACGGAGCTGTATAATTAATCATTTCCGTGTGTGGTTTTTGGGTTAGAAAAATGTTGCGATGCGATAAATTTTCCACTGATATTTCTTACCTTAGCTTTTGTCCCGTCTGCAACGTAAAGAATGAATATGAGCATATAGTGTTCTATTTTTTTCTAGAATGTTAAAACTTCGAAAGATTTCCTTTTACACAAACCATTGAGTATATATGCCGTTGTCGGGGCCAAAGGAGATTGGCGATAAGGGATAGGCGATAGGTCATGCCAAGACAGATAGTATGCTAGTAGGTTTATGCTAAACAGGAAAATCGAGGCCTTTCAAAAATGGTTTTGTCGACTACCAAACCAAACTGAAAATCTCAAAGTTAACCACCGTGTTCTTGATGAGAGTAAGAAACACAAGCCATTCCATCTATTCTTGGATCTTGGAATGACCTCCTATCGCTTATTGCCTATTGCCTATCGCTTTTGACTTTGAAGGATGAAACTCTGTTAAAGACATATGTTCCAAAACTTTAGAAACGAGAGAGAGAGTAGTGAGACAGGTTTATAATTAGTGATAAGATGCGGATTTACCTTTGTTTGGAAAAACCTTGTCTCCTATACACTTTGCAGTAACTTTTACGCAGCGAAGTAGCCTGTCGAAAAGGGCTGAGAAAAAATGAGCGATAACTTCAGAACATATATAGGTATATATAGAGCCAATGCTGATCAGAGTCGAGTTTAAAAAGTTTTTAGTTAGTTAAAGCCATTTTGTATCTAGGATAGAAATACATAAAATTGAATTTTATTCAATCGAACACGGAAAGAGAAAAGGGTTAATAATGTCCTCACTTACCGACCATTTCGAGGTTATGAATAGAATTGTAGCGCAAGCGAACGATCGTTAGTTATCCTCGACACCAAATAGAAATGGACTTAAAAATTAGAAGCTAGAATCTTTAAGGAAGCGAAAAATTCCTATTGCCGGTCTACATGCCGTGTTTGGTAGTCTCCTTCAGACATCACGTGAATAATTTTCCACCAGCTGACGTCAGACTATAAACATTTCCAAGAAATGCTATGACATCTTTCAAGTTTGTTTAGTATGCTCGTTTCAAGAATTAATAATAAAAAACATTTATTGGGCTATTCTTTTATGAGATTCTGCATATATTGATAAACAGTTTCAAAAACTGACTTCTATAAAACTGTAGAAGCAAGCAAACGATTGTTAGTTAACCTCGCCACCAAGATAGAAACGGCTCTTATGGTTATAGCTTCTTTCAGGTTCGCTTTCGTCGTCACGTGACTAATTTTTCCACCAGCTGACCTTGGCCGAAATCAAAAGCGTCCTATTATTAAAAGAATGCCTGTTTCAAGGATTTACATAACATTTAGTCATCCATTTTTTATTAGACCAAGATTCTGTATTGATTGAGAGAATTGTTTTCGTATTCAAGCGGTAAGCGCCAAAAACTATTTTCTTGAAGAAAGGCTGTTGTACAAGGCTAAAATCTTGTTATTCAAAAAGTTTAACTTGTTTGGAACTGGAGATGACCGATGAAAGTGGAATCTAAGTGTTAACCCAAAGCAACAATTTTATTCGAAAATGAGGTTTAGGCCTTCATTTGCTTATTTCCCATATATTTTTTATAGAAAAGCCTGACAAAGCAACATTCTAACACAAGTGCAACAAAGCATCTTTGTACAATTGTTTCTAACTGTTTAAAAAAGGTTTTGAGTGTTAACCCAAAACGAAAATTGGGATTCAAACTCATACGAAGGAATAGTTTTTGGCGCTTTTTGCCATTATTGCTCGTTATTGAAAAAAATTTCCTCTTAACAGTTAAGTTTCAAGAACTGACTCATATAGAACGGTAGTACTGACAAGCGAACGATCGCCACCAAGATAGAAATGACTTATCGTAACTGCGTAAAAGAAATATTGTCTTTACTCATAGTATGTCTGGTTTGGTATTCTTCTTTTGTCGTCACGTGAATAACTGAAAATATATCAGTCACGTTTTCGGACATTTTGTGACGGTTAGCTCTTACTTTAATCATTATTATCAACAATTTAAAAAATAAAAAATAATCAGAAAGACGTACTATTCATCTAGCACCTAGTTATAAAACTTTAGACTATATAACTATATATTATAGCGGAGCACCATGCTTAAGAAAAAATGGTAAACCATCGAGTTAATTTTTCATGGCTTGGCTGACGTCACGTCCGTACGTCCGTGTACACAACACAGGAATCCCTCTTGATGTCAAAGCAAAACTACTCACAAATGCGGCTCTCAAATGCACAGAAAAAATCACTTTAGGACAAGTTATAGACCAAAAACAATTTTTTTAAAAATTTCATGTAGTCAAAGATGGATCAAGAAGTGTTCTTCAAGAATTCAGGTGTGTGTTTTTAGCAAACAATCGTATATTATAATTTTTTTTGACAAGCATTTTTCTCGACGAATTGGATAAATTAAAGATTTCTCTCAAAACATTTTATATTTCTATAGATAAGCTTAATTTATTTTAATGCTGAAGGAAATATAACACGGAGAGCATATTACGACAACAAATGTTCGTCCTTTATTTAGCTTTGTAAATCTTTAACAATTCGGTTGTTTTTAACCAACTATCGTATGTTTTTTGTTCAAGAAAAATCCAGCTTTGTTCGCCGGCTCCTATCGCGGGGTCCCATCGGCAAAACAAAGAAGACTTTCTATAGATAATTTATTTAACTATTGAATGAAATATAAATTTACACCAAATATTCAACTGTTTATTAAGCTGTTCGAGCAAGTATGATTATGAAAATGAGCTTAAATTTGTGTTGTTGAGAGATGTTATTGTATAAAGACAAGAGAATATGAACTAAGAGAAGGAATCCCCGTGCCCCATCATGTGCTCACTTTGATGCTAGTTTTAAAATCATTGATGCTATTTTTAACTCGTTACCATACCCGCGCGATAATCATCACTAAAAGGATAGCTGGAATGATAGCTCGATTATTTCTGATTAGAAGTGATTCGGCCAATACCTTCAAAAAACCTTCAAATTTTCGATGCTCTGAAACAACTTCTTGGCTGATCTCAGTCAGCCTAAGTCAGGGCTTAGCTATACTCTCAGAACGAACCCTGAAACAAACTGTACGGCAGAGCTAATTCACAGATCGAATTGGAATTTATTTTTGGTATAGATTTTACGGAGGGAGGAAAACTGGAGTCCCGGAAAAAACCCTCTAATCAAAGAGGGAGAGACTTAACAAACACTTTTCACATGTAATGCCGAATCTAGGAATCGAACCCGAGATTTAGGAATCGAACCCGAGATCTAGGAATCGAATCTAGGAATCGAACCCGAGATTTAGGAATCGAATCTAGGAATCGGACCCGAGATCTAGGAATCGAATCTAGGAATCAAACCCGAGATCTAGGAATCGAACCCGAGATCTAGGAATCGAATCTAGGAATC